AATAGAGACTATAATTATAATTACAAAGTCTAATTACATAAATAAAAAACTAATCCCTAGAAGTAAATTTTTTTACAATTTAAGTAAAGATAAAACATTAAATTATAAACACTAGGTTTCCCTCCAGTGCTGACACCTCAGCTTTTTGGAGTATTCTGGACATGACACATCATTAAAATCATCATCCAATAAAAATATTTGGATTAATACACATCAGATTTTTTGGCCAATAATCATCCCTTCTGCTTTTATTAATATTGTCTCATTTGTTCTTGGGCTCTAACATATGGGCTTAATGTTTTAGAATAGGATTATTGGACTTCAATTTAGGGCTTGATTGGTTCTTCCGCCTAGCGGTTGTTAGCGGTTGGTTGCGGTTGTTAGCGGTTGGTACCAATCATAGAAACTGTTCCATACCACTTCGAACAGTTCGAAATCGCTGGATTTTAAAAGCTCTTTTCCGCAAGCGTTTGCGGTTGCGGACGGTTGCGGTTGGTTTAAAAAAGGAAAGAAACTGAAAAAGAAAAATGAACAAATTTAAATATATATTATCAAGTGTTATGTATATTCACGTTAATTCTAAAAAAAAAATATCTAACTTTAATTTTCCAATATTAATAATTATTTTTGTTTTCAATATAAAATTTATTTGAATAATTATATATGGTTTTTAATCATTAATCATGTTTAAATTTTTTATATTTTTTCATAATTATAGTTTTTGGTGTTTTTATACTTTTTATAATCATATACTAAATTTATTTTGGTAAATTTTGGTTTAACCGCTACTGTACCCGCTGATCAACCAGTCGTAAATCTCCCGCAAACGTATTCGTTTTTAACCGCTAAACCAGTCGGTCAAAATGCTAAATAATGCTTGAAACCGCAACCGTCCGTTTCCGCAAACTCCCACAACCGCAACCGCTACGTTTAAACCAGTCAAGCCCTTACTTGTAATGTTTACCCTTTGGATAAAATTGGATACAAATCGAATTAGATAAGAACTATTGCAATAAAATATTATAAGATTTATTAAGCGTTATCATAGATCTTAATGAATAACTAAAAATCATTTGAGTAACGTTCTATACTCCTATAACAAACAAACAAACAAATCTCTTAGCCTTTTACGCCTCTTCAACATATAAATCAAGTATGCATATGGAACATTAAAATCAAAGATGATCATTCCATATAACATATTTTCAAGTATCTAAGTCATGAGTTCTATACAGCTATGGCATGTCCATATATATATATATATATATATATATATATATATATATAAGTCCGATCGAATCAAATATCATAACTTTTGTCAAAAAATAAATGCTCAACGATTTCATCGACGATATATTCAAATCGGAGAAAACAAAAACGGAAACTTGAGAAAAAAATAAGAGGAAAGAAAGATATTTACTTGTGGGCACTGAATTCAGATTCCAATTACATCAATCGCTGAGAAAAAGACGTAGGAGATTTAGAGTTCGATTGCGGAACACCGCCATAGCTCCCCCGCACTCCGGTGATAGAAACTCTTTTAGACATACAGTGAAACAATCGTCTCTTATTGGCTGCCATTAGTGAAAGTCTTTCAGATATGAAAGCAAAGGTCTTCTTTTTTTTTCCTCTCCGTTTAACTGTTTATCTAATCTATCTCTCACCTTTGTTCATCTGTTTTTCCAGAAAAAAATGATCGTTTTCGGACTTTTTCAGGATACAAATTTTATCTGAATACTAAAATTGATTTACGGTTTGGTCTCAGTTTAACATTCAAATTTGATTTGGTTCTTTTTTTGCCTTCAAATTATTTAATTATTAAATATTTAACGAAAATCATTTCTCCAATTTAAATTTCTTCAATATTAAAAAAAATCATTTAAAAATATCCCGCGGCGGAGCGCGGGTTTCAACCTAGTTATGAGTAAATTTAGAAAAATACCCTCTTTATAAGTTTTCATTTGAAAAATACCATATCCTTTTTTTTCTCTTAAGAACTAATTTTTAATATATAAAATTACTAAAATAACCTCATTAGAATTTAGTAATAATTAAAACCCTTCCTTAACTGGACCTATACCTGATTTCTCCAGTTTGGTTAATCTCAAATCGTTATTTCTCGATCACAACTCTTTTTCCGGTTCGTTTTCTCTCTCGGTTCTCGCGACACCAGACGGTATGAGCAATGGGAAGAACATTCCTGAGCAAGCAGCCATTGCAGCCAAAGCTCCACCTAGAGCCAAGGATCCAGTATCTCCCATGGAAACTGATGCTCTGTATCAATTGTGAAGTAGAAACCCAAAACAAGCTCCAGCCATTGAAGCTCCAAATACAGAGAGATCTGATCTCGAATAGAAAATACAGGTTGAAAGTAGTGAGCCACACACACTATCTTCACTTGGAATGCAATACTTTGTAGATTTGTGAATCTTATAAAGGTGAAAGTAAATGATTTGGTATAATAGTTAGGGACTCACCAGAGCAAAAAGGAAGAACTACTACTACCATTGAAACGAAAGCCAATGCAGCAATACCTCCCGCCAATCAATCGAGACCATCGATTGCTTTGACTAAGTTTCCCATGGAAACAAAGTAACACGATGTCAACAATAGGTAAAGTTTTCCCAAGCAAACAAGACCTAATGGGGAAGGCAAGGGAACCAGCATTTTCCTAGAAAAAGAATCAGATACAAGAAGATGGTTATGTAAACTTCTGAAATACTCATTTTCTCAGGTTTTGAGAACTCTGGAAATCTAATTTATGGACTGGTTTGAATATAATCATGTGGATTCTTATTCTCATGTACAATCATATGAAAGTAGATACGCGAGTTACCATCATATATGCGTTGATCAGATTAGTTATAAGAGGCTATACATGCCATAAGGAGATGATATACTTGCAGTCTCCAACCAAAACGCAAAGCAAATCCCAACAGCTGCCTATAACGCACTCACATTTGTAAAAAATATGCGGCTTAACTTAGTTGTTGTAAATATGCCCACTCAAGGAACCAAAGCCACTATTAGAATTATGAATGGTGAATTTCCCAATTAAAAAATCTTTTTTTCTTTTTTTAGTTTTTAACTTTGTAATTGTTGTATTCTAAAATGGTGTGAGAAACATAAAATGAAAAACAATTGTACAAAACTTGTAAAGATAAGTTATTTGGATCGTCCTTGTTGGATTCTTTCCCCTCTATTTTGAAGGATTTGTTTGCAGTTATGCTATTAAGGCTCTTTTTACTAAAATTGTTGAATTGGTGATAAAATTAGAATCGACTATAGTTGGAAACATTTTTTATTCTGATAGATCTACCAAGCAAAAAACTACTATATTTTATGGGAAAATTGAAAATAAAGGAAAACTACTTAAAAATTTGTCCATATATCCCTTTTTCTTGTAGATTGGTCAAATAGATTTTTTGAAAATATAAAAAAACCCAATTTTACCCTCATTTTCTCACAAAATTAATAAAAAATTGATTTTAAAAATAAAACTTTGTAATCTATTTACAAAAATTAAATAGAAATCTAAACCTTCCACTTGAGAAAGAGTCTCTCAATCACCTAGACCTAATTAACTGTTTTTTTTCCTGTCATAGATGAACATGTCGGGGTAAAACAAAAAGGACCCTACTCTCTCTCAAACGAGCCCACCGCCGTATCTCCACCGAGTGCGTGTTTCCCGGCATCGTTGGTTCTCCGGTGTTCATCTGGGCGACGATTGAAGACTGAATCAATAGGTTTGTTGCTCTACTCTTTTTTGTGATTGAAATTATGTCTTTTTCTCATCTCAAGTCACAATTTCCGTTACTCGTTTAGAGATTTGCGTTCATATAAACACAAATTAGATTTGAGACTTGTAAATCGATGTGAATCTTTTTGTTCTCTCGATTTAGTTGCAAGTCACAATTTCAATTTGCATGTAGAGTTGTTAATATCTTTGAATTCGTGTAACTCGATTAGAGGTTTCAATTTGGTGAGTTTTAAAATTCCAAATTTAAATTGAATGTAGATTGAATAAGTCTTTCGCTCTTTGATTCCAAATTACAATCGAAGTGATCTTTTTGTTCTCTTTTTGATCTGTTTAGTCCACTATTTTTGTGTGTGTGTGTGTCGTGAGTAGCTCAAGTATGTGTCTTGTTTTTTTTTTAGTTATAGGTTTTGTCTCTTGTAAATCTTCTACATCTAAGTCAATTGTAAATCTTTTTAGCTAAAGCCGTCCACATATCGTCATTGAAAATATTTCAATTGTATGTAGATTGATTAAGTTATCTATCTCTTTGATTCATGTTAATGTATATGTGTTTGTGTTGGAATTCATTGATTTAAACAGAGTTTATGAAGATTGTTTCAGAGAATTGTTGTTTCGGGCTTCACATGTTGCTCTATACTTTTTTAAAGTAGATATCCTTTATTTCCAATTTTCCCAAAGAATTAAAACCCATGTATACGTCACTATCCAAATTCAAACCATGTCTTTTATTTTTGCCGACATCCAAATCAAGTTTATCCCTCAATTAAGTTCATAGTTGAAACGTCAATTGGAAGCGAAAAAAACGAACTTATCCAAACAACAGAGAAACAAAATGCGTTACTAGTAGAAAAATAATACAGTTGGCTCTTTGTCACATTGTTAACTAACTAGCTTTAAGTCTCAACAACCATATGATCAATAACAACCTATACTAATAATTATATCCTAAATCTAACCTAAAACATAATATTATTTCTTACAGTACAGTAGTTAGATCCGGTTCTGATAGAAAGAAAACAAGAGTTTAGATCTCTTCCTACAAAATCGGCATTAATATATTTGAATTTGATCCATACTATGCTTTTACTTCGTTCAACAGTTCTACAAGTATCATTAATATACTATAATAATTACACAACTTCTTTACTTTATCAGTCTTCACGTGACTCTGAAAACTTTCCAGTCCCTGACAGCTACTTCTCCTCTCTTGTTTCTTACATCCTTTTGTCACGTACCTCCTGCTCTCTTCACCTCTCTCTTGAATATGTAATAATAATCAAACAGACATTAACATGCTTCTTTAACACATTCTTCTTACAAGCTATGCTTCTTCGTTGTAAGTGTAACTTACCCATTTCTGGGTTTCTTCTCTTCTGTTTCTTCTTCACCATTGTTGCTTCTTCTTCCTTAAACCACACCAAACACGTGTTTCATTACAACCGTGACGTTTCTGCTTTGTTACGTTTCAAATCCAAAGCTGATTTATGGAACAAGATAAACACGAGCTCTCACTTTTGTCAATGGTGGGGTGTTACGTGTTATGGAAACAGAGTTGTTCGTTTGGTTATTGAAGATCTTTATCTCGGAGGTTGTCTCGTTCCTGACTCAGTTAATAAACTTGACCAGCTTCGAGTTCTCAGTCTCAAAAACACTTCCTTAACCGGACCTTTACCAGATTTCTCCGCTTTGGTTAATCTCAAATCGTTATTTCTCGATCATAACTCTTTTTCCGGTTCGTTTCCTCTCTCGGTTCTCGCGCTTCACCGGTTAAGAACTCTTGATTTCTCCTTCAACAACCTCACCGGTCCAATCCCACCCGGTTTAGTTCTCTCCGACCGGTTGATTTATCTCCGTCTCGATTCAAACCGGTTTAATGGTGCCGTACCTGCTCTAAACCAATCCTCGCTTCATACATTCAATGTTTCGGTTAACAACTTAACCGGTGCTGTACCGGTAACAACCGTGTTATTACGGTTCGGCATTTCTTCATTTCTCAAAAACCCTAATCTCTGCGGCGAGATCGTTCACAAAGAATGCAATCCGAGACCCAAATTCTTCACTCCGGTAACGGCGGCGCCACCACCGAAGATGGTTCTCGGTCAAATAGCGCAAATCGGAGGAGCAAGATTATCCAGGCCAAATCAAAACAAACATTCACGATTCTTTGTGATTCTCGGTTTCATCTCCGGCGCTTTTATCCTATTCATCTCCGTCGCGTGCCTAATCGGCGCAGTGAAGAGACGAAGAAGCAAAAACGAGAAACAAAAGGGGAAAGAATCAACGGCGGTTGTCTCATTTGACGCGGCGGAGACGGCGGAAGTAGCGGCGGCGATAGAACAAGAGAGTGAGATAGAAGAGAAAGTGAAGAAGCTACAAGCGACAAAAAGTGGGAGTTTAGTATTCTGTGCGGGTGAGGCACACGTTTATACGATGGACCAACTAATGACAGCATCAGCTGAGTTATTAGGTAGAGGAACAGTGGGGACCACTTATAAGGCTTTGCTTGATAGCCGTTTGATCGTCACTGTGAAGAGATTAGATGCCATTAGATTAGCCGGTGTAGGGAGAGATAAATTTGAGCGTCACATGGAATCAGTTGGTGCTTTAGGGCATCCGAATTTGGTACCACTCAGAGCTTATTTTCAGGCGAAGGAAGAGAGGTTATTGATTTATGATTATTTGCCAAATGGCAGTCTCTCGTCTCTTGTCCATGGTAAGCTTCGTAAACCCTATCACATGCGATTATATCATTTTTAATTCTTTGTGTGCATTGAATTTAAATAAATGATTAGTAGATTAATTCATTGAAGACATCAAGCATTTTGTTAGGTTTGCGTGATTAATGCTTGTAATAAATTTACTAGTTGCGACTTACGAGGTTTTTTACTTTTGGTGACTCAATATTTTTTAACTTTATGTACAGTTTAGCTCTAGTGGCCACTGGCCACATGGAATAAACAGTTTAGTTTGTTTTCAAAAAAAAAAAACAGTTTAGTTAACTACATGATTTTTATTTTTTTTTATTGAATTTTGGTACATTTGGTACTCCTTGTTTCATGTTAAAAGTTGTTCTAGGAGAAAAAAAATTAATGCTGTAATGCAAAAAAAGTTAATTGTTTTTATAATTTTCCTTACAGTAAAATGGTTAGTACTTAGTTACTTGGTCTTAGTTGTTGTTTTGATCATGTAAATTGGGTTATGAAATGTATTATATTTTATTATTTTGTGTGGATTATGTCTCAATATTATTAAAATATAGGGTTAGCTTAGTTAAACTAAAATTGGTTTTTCTTGTTTTAAAATAACAAAATCCAACAGGTTATAAAATATAATTTGGTTTAATTTGGGCTTAATATGTCCATGTCTAGCAAGAGGAATGTGATGGATTTGATATAGTTAGAGTTAGTTAGTTACAAGATAGCATTGAGAAGCTTATGTTACAATTTATTTTTTTGACTCCAAAGCTTATGTTAAAAGTTGATATATGATATTGTGTAGGTACAAAATCGTCGAGGGCAACGCCATTGCATTGGACATCATGCTTGAAGATAGCAGAAGATGTGGCTCAGGGTCTCTCTTACATCCACCAAGCATGGCAGCTTGTTCATGGCAATCTCAAATCCTCCAATGTCCTTCTTGGACCAGACTTTGAAGCTTGTATCGCTGATTACTGTCTCGTTGCTCTTGCAACAAACCCTCCTCTAACATCGAATGACGGTCAAGAAGACGCGGATGCAGCAGCTTATAAAGCCCCTGAAGCGCGACACAAGAGTTTAAATTATCAATCTGTTAAAGCTGATGTATACTCCTTTGGGATTCTTCTCTTGGAGCTTTTGACAGGGAAGCAACCTTCGAAGATTCCGGTTTTACCGTTGGATGAGATGATTGAATGGGTGAGGAAAGTGAGAGAGGAAGGTGAGAAGAAGAACGGGAATTGGCGAGAGGATAGAGATAAATTCGGAATGTTGACTGAAGTTGCGGTAGCTTGTAGCTTAACATCGCCCGAACAGAGACCGACGATGTGGCAAGTGTTGAAAATGTTGCAGGAGATTAAAGAAGCGGCTGTGATGGAAGAGTGTGAACTTGTTATGGATTCTTCTAATTCTGAAAGCTCTTAATTAAGGACAGTAATTTTATTTTTTCTCAACTAAATCTCTCTTCATGGCTTTCACTAATCTTAAGACTATATATAACATTGACGGTTTTAGATTAATGCCACGTTCTTTACCCGTTTACTAATTGCTACCAGGTCTGATAGTGATGCTATATTATTTCTCCTATGAAACTGTTGTTGGGTATGTTTCTTCAAATTGTTTTGGGCCTTATGTTTTCGAAATGGGCTGTATAATCCACGTTGGTTTTGTGTTAATTAAGCTTTGATAAAATCTCTTTCTTCATAAAAAGGAAAAAGTCAAAATCGTGACTGCAACTTTTTCTCACCGACTTTGCAACGTTGAGGAAGAAGTGGGATTGTGAGAGTAAGATTTGGGGGCTGAAATCTCTCGTGAATAGTTGAGATTTGTGCCTATATAAGAAGGATTTGGTCTTCGATCAGAATTATGAAAAACTCACATCTCTCTTCTTCTATCTTCTTCTTCTTCCTTTTTATTTCAATTTATGGGTTTGAGAGTTTCATCTCTTTGAGTTGAGTGCACAATTCAATTGAGAGCAGAGTGAACCCTGGAGTGAGCCGTCTTGGTTATCTTGCACCGGGATTAGGCGGTTTTTTCGCTCAAGTGCAGTAGATTTTCTACGGCTCTGCAACTTTCGTTCTTCCTCGATTCTGGTTTCTAAGATCTGTTACCAACAATCTTGAGCGAAAATTATTTGTTGGTTCCATTACGATTCAGAATGCCGAAGAACTCTGCAGTGCCCGATTTGTCAAAGCTCCAGCCTTTGATTGGCTCAAATTACCGTCGCTGGTCGGAGGAACTCATGTTCTTCTTTCAAGAGGTTGGCTTAAGCTACGTTCTTGTTGAAGACAAGCCAACTTCCTCCTCTGAAACGCCTACCTCCGGGAATTCTCAAGATGTTTTGACACAATCAAGCAAGCAAAAACCGGAAGGAAGCTTTGAAGATCACAACCGCACATGTCGTGGTCATATCATCAGACACCTCTCGGAGAAGCTGTTTGATATCTATGTCAACTATGAATCTGCAAAGGAGATATGGAACAACTTGAAGAAAAGGTACGGAGCCGAAGATGAAGGCAAGAAGCAGTACGTCACTTCAAAATGGACCTCATTTCAGATGAAGGACGATCAACCCGTTCTCGATCAACTCCATGAGTATGAAGCCATTGTCTCCAAGATTCAGGCCGAGGGTATACCAATCGATGAGCAACTGGCTGCTTTGGTACTCGTTGACAAACTGTCTCCGTCATGGAATGGCTATCGCTCCAAGCTGAAGCATGAGAAAAAGAAGATGTCGCTTGATGAGCTGATTGCAGACATAATGATCGAAGACGCAAACAGAAACTACTTAGGTAATAAAACAGTGTCTCGTTCAATTCCTAATGATGCTAACGTTGTGGAAAGTTCTGGTGGTGTAAAGAACAGGTTCAAATCCAACAAAAACCAAGGAAAGACTCCTCAAAAGTCTAATCCTATTACACCATCTGTTGAATTCAAGAAGAAACTGAAGTGCTGGAATTGTAACAAGCCTGGACATAAGAAGCAGGATTGTCGCTTACCTCCACAGCAAAAAGAGTCAAACAAAGCTCATCTTACTGAAGACCTAATTGCTGTCGTCACTGAGGTAAACGCTGCAATTGACGTGGTGGAATGGATCATTGATTCAGGTGCCACACGTCACATTTGCAGCCAGAAGTCTCTCTTTAAAACTCTTGATGAATCTCCACGTGATAATGTCTTCTTGGGTGATGCTAGTGCTTTACAAGTTGCTGGAATTGGAGAAGTTAATTTGAAATTATCATCTGGAAGAGTTTTAACTTTGACTAAGGTTTTGTTTGTTCCAAACATGCGTAGGAATTTAATTTCTAGTGCTTTGTTGATGATTGCTGGGTTTAAGCAAACTCTTGAGGCTGGTAAGTTAGTGATAACTAAGAATGGGGGGTATGTGGGAAAAGCTTTTTGTAAGGGAAATCTCTTTGTTCTTGAAATAATGAATGAAAGTGCTGGTGCTTCTGCTTACTTTGTGAGTGTTTTGGATACATGGCATGGCAGATTAGGACACTTAAATGTGAATTCAATTAAACGCTTAAAGCATGCTAATCTGATTCCTGATAACTTGGAAAAAGATATCTCAAAATGTGAAATTTGTGTGGAAGCAAAGCATGCTAGAAAACCATTTTCTTATCCTGTTAATCGAAAATCTGAATTGCTTGAGCTTATTCACTCAGATTTGGCTGATTTTAAAAACACCACTAGTAGAGGTGGCAAGCATTATTATATCACTTTTGTTGATGATTGTTCTAGATATACAAGGGTTTATTTGTTAAGAACAAAAGATGAGGCTTGTGAAATGTTTATGCGATATAAAGCTGAAGTAGAAAATCAACTAGATAGAAAAATTAAGAGGTTAAGGTCTGATAGAGGTGGAGAATATGAATCTGAAATCCTGAATTATTTGTGTTTGAAAGAGGGTATTATTCATGAAAGAACTGCTCCTTATTCTCCCCAGCAAAATGGCATTGCCGAAAGAAAAAATCGAACCCTTAAAGAAATGATGAATGCTATGCTTATTAGTTCTGGGTTGCCTGATCAAATGTGGGGGGAAGCTATTCTTTCTGCATGTTATATTCTGAATAAAGTACCTCATAAAGGAATCTCTGTTACACCTTATGAACTTTGGAAAGGTCATTCTCCTAATTTGAGTTATTTGAAAGTGTGGGGGTGTCTTGTTAAAGTAGGACTGCCAACCTTTAAAAGAACCACCATAGGTCCTAAGACTGTTGATGCTGTGTTTGTTGGTTATGCTTTGAACAGTGCTGCTTACCGTTGTTTAACATTTAAGCATGATTCCTTGCAATTTGATAGCATGATTGAGTCTAGAGATGTTGAATTTTTTGAGAATGTGTTTCCTTTTAAGAGAAACTTAGACTTCGCCTCTTCCCATGATTCAGCTAATATAGATTTTGCTTCTTCAAGTAATGCTAAAAGAATTCATGATGATGCTGAAGAACCTAGAAGGAGTAAAAGAATGAGAACTGAAACTGATTTTGGTCCAGATTTTATTACTACCTTTCTAGCTGAATATGATGAGATTAGTGAAGAATTTGTGTTTGCATTCTTGATAGAAGAAGATCCAAAAACGTTTTCAGAAGCTATGAAATCTGTAGATGCTGTTTTTTGGAAAGAAGCAGTTAATAATGAGTTTGATTCTATCATGACTAACCATACTTGGGAGATTGTTGATTTGCCTAGGGGATGCAAAGCTATCAGATGCAAATGGATTTTAAAGAAAAAATTCAAGGCTGATGGTTCTATTGACAAGTTCAAGGCGAGGCTGGTGGCTCAAGGGTTTGCGCAAAAACAGGGAGTAGACTATTTTGATACTTATGCTCCTGTTACTAAAATTGCTTCCATTCGCATGTTGCTTGCTGTTGCATCTGCTCATAAATTAGTTGTGCATCAAATGGATGTGAAAACAGCATTTTTAAATGGTGATTTGCATGAAGAAATTTATATGATGCAACCTGAGGGATTTATTATAGAAGGTCAGGAGAATAAAGTTTGCAAATTGATTAAGTCTCTTTATGGTCTCAAGCAAGCTCCTAAGCAATGGTTTGAAAAATTTAGTAACACGTTGCTTGAAAATGGCTTTGTTTCAAATGAAGGTGATACGTGTGTGTTCTCTAAAGTGCATGAACATGGATACGTCATTATATGTTTATACGTAGATGATATGCTTATTCTTGGCACATCTCTCGAAATTGTTTGTGACACAAAGGTTTTCTTGAGTTCTAAATTTGACATGAAAGATTTAGGAGAAGCTGATGTCATTCTTGGAATTAAAGTCGTTAAAACTGACTCTGGATTTTCTTTGAACCAGTCTCATTATATTGAAAAAATTCTAAAGAAATTTGGATATTGGGATGAACCTAGTGCTAAGTCTCCTTATGATTCATCTTTGCATTTGTGTCAAAATAGAGGAGAAAGTGTGAATCAATCTGAATATGCTAAGGTGTTAGGCAGCGTAATGTATTTGATGAATTGCACTAGACCTGACATTGCATATGCTGTGAGTAGGTTGAGTAGATATACTCATAATCCTGGTTCTAATCACTGGTCGGCACTTAACCGCTTAATGCGATATCTAAAGGGAACTATTGATTGGAACTTGTGTTATTCTGGTACTTCTTGTGTTCTTGAAGCTTATTGTGATGCTAATTGGAGTTCAGATAATGATGAAGTGAATTCCACCAGTGGCTTTGTATTTACTTTGGCTGGTGGAGCTATTGCATGGAAATCTACTAAACAGACTTGTATTGCTCGTTCCACTATGGAATCTGAACTAATTGCTCTTGAATTGGCAGGACAAGAAGCTGAGTGGTTAAGAAACCTGCTAGCGGATTTTCCGATGATGGGAAGACCTTGTCCTTCCGTATCTATGAGATGTGACTCTCAAGCTGCGATTGCTGTGGCGATGAACGCGTTGTATAATGGGAAGAAAAGGCATATACGTATGCGACATAAAGTGATAAGAAGCTTGATTGAAGCTGGAGTGTTATCACTAGAATTCGTGAGATCAGGGAAGAATATAGCTGATCCTCTCACGAAAGGCTTGTGTGGACGAATGGTCTTGGACACAACAAAGGAAATGGGACTAAAGCCTTTTTCAGGTTAGATCATTCTGGATACCAAACCAAGAATTCTATTCACTTCTGAATTCTCGGTTCAAACTGGTCAAACGAAGGAATGATATTAATCTGATGATTGTTAAGTTCCCATGTTGTTGTCGTATGGAAGGTTGAGACATATGGTCTCTTAATGAACTTATTCCTGTATGGGGGTGTGAGACAACACACACTTGATAAGTCACCTAAATAAGTGTTAAGGTACAAACTGCCTAACTAGATGAGTTGTGGGCTAACTCACTAGAACACTTATGATGCAGGGTTGTAAGAAAGTTCTTGATACTTTGTACATGTTTTGCGAAACTCTCAAACTGTCTTTTTTGTTGATTCAAGTCTTTTAGACATCAA